ATAGATAGATAGATAGATAGATAGATAGATAGATAGATAGATAGATAAAAAAAGACGTTAAAAAGCCATTTTTCGCTTCTTGTAGTGCATAAAACCTAACACCAACCCCTAACGCTAACCACTCAACTGGTGTCACATTTTAACAAGTGTAACCGCAAAACTTCAAACTAAAGAGTTCCTGTTTCTTGGTGCTATGTTCAAATGCAAGTGTTTATTGTGTTAGTTACTAATTAAGCTTATTGGGAGACCAGGCCTATCTGAAGGGCTATATTTACACTGCCCTAATTAGGTTTACTGAGATTACTGATTTACTATTAACAATGAAAGAATGAAATTCAAACTGACTTTAAATCATTCTTCATATGAGGTTTATGACATGTGTCAGTTTGAATGAACAGGACAGATCAATGTTATTGGCTTGAGGCTGATGTTTGTTTTGGGTTTTTCCTATTCTTTTTAAGTGTTCTGAAGTAGTTCTCATAATATCCACTTTACCAAAAGCAAATAGACTTACTCAAAGGGAGATCATGCCATGGAATGAATTCACCTCCCAGGGTCTAACACGTAACAGATTTTTCATTTGAAATGGAAATAGCTCTGAAAATCTTTCACGGTGTAACTGGTAGATATGTGAACAGATGTATCTTGAACAGCTAACAAATTTGAATGCAAACCATCTTCTGTTCAATGTTGCAGAGAGGTGCACGGATGCGTGCAGTTTGGTAAAGTCCTTTTGGTTTGTGTTCTTTTGGTTTGTGTTCACCATCTGCACTCTCATTCTTTCTGCACACAGTGTCTGCAGATGAAGTTCAGGCCAGCCCAAATACAAATGCAACCCTCCCCTGCAATCTCACCCTAACAGAAGACAAAAAAGATGTGTCTCTCATGCAAGTCAGCTGGACAAAAAACGGCTCCCACATTGCTTCATTTGGAAAAGCAGCAACGCAGATAAACGACAGCTTCAGCTGGAACACCACTGCTTTCATCAATGGAGACTTTTCACTCGCTGTCCTCAAAGCCGGCTTTGATCTGCAGGGGGTGTATGAGTGCACAGTTAGCTACAACTCCTCAAATCTGTACTTCAGCAATGTTACATTCAGTATCCTTGGTATGTCTTTTGTCACGTTTTGTTGCTTGACAACACAGTTCAGCCAAGCACAAAGCTGAACTTTTGTTTTGGACACTATGTAACATCCTCCTCTCCTTTTTTAGCCCCCCCCTCTCTGTCAGTGCCTCAGAAGTGGGTGGTGTTAGAAAGACAGGCCCAGCTTGAGTGTCGTGCGAATGGTTTCTACCCTCCTCCTGTCTCTTTTTCTTGGACCAGAGATGGGCAAGAGATTAAACCCCCCTTCCAAGTGGAAGGTGAACTGACTCCAGACGGGTTCTATCTGGCTGTGGGAAACCTCACCTTCTACCCATCACGTGAAGACCTGAATGTGACCTTTGGCTGCAAAGTTTCACACATCGGCATCAGTCAAGAGGTGGATTTCCAGCTCAATGTCACCAGTATGTGTCACAATAAGACAAGACTTTAGCACACAACCACACAGTCTCTTGTGAAGTTTCAGTATCACAAACCCGATGACGATTTTAAAATCAACGACTTTCTTGTTTCTTTTCTCAGATCTTCCCTCTGTTCGACTGTCTGTTGTGCCACCTCAGTCCAATAGCATTCCTCTTACTGTCTACTGCGATGTGGAAAGTTTCTACCCAGAAGAAGTGTCTGTGTCCTGGTTTCAAAATAGCACAGCCCTCCCTGACCCCCCTGTCACTGACCAGAACCCAGATCAGACTTATAGGACTAGGCGGTATTTTACTTTGAGCCATGAACAAAGACGCCAACGTGGGATGGTTGAGTGTGCAGTTAACCAGCCGGGAGTAGTGGATCCTGTCAGTATGTCTGCAGATCTGGACACACTGGATCCTCAAGGTTAAAATCAAATTAAACTGCAATATCAAATTCACAATCACAATCAATCAATCAATGATTATTATTATTATTATTATTATTATCATTATTATTATTATTATTATTATTATTATTATTATTATTATTATTATTGTTGTTATTATTATCATTATTATCATTATTATTATTATTGTTGTTGTTGTTGTTGTTGTTATTATTATTATTGTTATTATTATTATTATTATTATTATTATTATTATTATTATTATTATAAGAGGTATTATTATTATTATTATTATTATTATTATTATTATAAGAGGTATTATGCCCCATTTTGGACATATAAGGCTTCTTTTAGACCCAGTTATAATTGATCAGAAAATTGTTTGTTTGATATCCATAAATGTTTCTGTTTCATTCATTTCTTTACACTGTGTCATTTTAGATGAGGCTCCAGTGCTAAATAAATCGGCCAAAGCATCCGTGGCCATGATGTGTATCTCTATTGTGCTGGTCTTCCTGCTCTGCTTTGGTTTCTCCTGGAGGAGAAGAGATGGTGAGTCACAACCAGCTAAGCAGCAGGTTTTGATTCACTCACAGACAATTTTTGAAACCTCTGGCAGGATCTGACTTCTTCATTTGAAGGCCTTTTAGAGGACGTGAATAAAGAGGTGGAAGTGAAACAGGGTCATGTTGTGATACCACATTATGTCAGGAGACAAATGCCATCCTGATTATAAATTTGAAAAGTGAATCTGTACAAAACTGAAACCTTTACCAGTTCAAACGTATTTTTCTACTTTCAACCCATGGTCACAATTATCACACAGACTGAAACACAATAGCAATAACTATCATTATTTTTCCATTTTCTGCACACAGTCATAAACAATTTTGCATGAGAAAAAAATCATGAATACTGAGTTGCAACTGAGGCAAAAAAATCTTTTTCTTAGGATCAGTTTTGGGGGAACTCCTCATCCTGGGCTACTGGGACATTTCTGTTATCTTGGCCCTATTTTTTCCGGCAATAACTCTACTGTCCTCTCATTCTGTCTTTCCTTAGAGAAGCAAAAGTCTCTCAGTGTGTCAGGAGTCATCCTCCCTCCACGCGTGATTGTGGGTCAGAAGGGCAGGGTGACAGTGAGCATTGAGGGCAGGCGGGTGGACCGAGTCCATACAGCATGGTTTCTCAATAACACCCCCATCTCCGACACCTCTCTCACAGGTAGGGGTACTCATGTACCAGTGTTGGCAAACATTTTCTAAACCACATAGGTGGCAGAGTATGATAGTTTAAAAAACTGATGTGTGATATTGTAAATGTATTTAAATTAAGGAGGATTTAGAAGAATTGACTTTGTCTGAAATGAAACATGTTAAAGTATAAGGTTTTCATAAATCATACATAGAATAAATGAGACACTGTCTTAGGTTTATAACAATAACACATTATACTGACTACAGGTTATAACTTTGATTTGTCTTTCAGCTGTCTTGACTAAACATGTTTTTCTCTTTTGTACTTGTATTTCGCTAACAATGTCCAACCTGACACAAAGGAACCACCAACTCAAACTTTAACTGCCTTTACAACCCCCTAACCACCATACATCTACCCTATGGTCTAACTCTCACTTCCCCAGTGTCAGAAAAAGGTCCTCTCCTGGCTCCTCGAGGTGAGATGGGGTACTACAAGCTGCACACTCAGGGACCGCTGCACTCCTCCAAATCTGGCACTCAGCAGCTGATCTCCGCACTCACCTTCATCCCCCAGATTTCACTCCACAAAGGTGCTGTGTTTAAGTGTCAGGTGTCCTACATAGGCAAGGACAAGATCGTGGAAGAGAGGGTGTCCGAGAAGTTTACCGTTCTGTGTAAGACCTGCTTTTCACCTCCCTCAAGTTTGCTTCAGGCTGTTTCTTAAGGTAAATTCTGCATCATAAATGTTCCTCGTCTCTTCATACAGCTCCTCCGGAAGTTTCGGAGATACAGCTATCAGAGACACAAAATGACTCAGGTGAGACAATCATGCCATTCGTCTGAAATATTCATTGCTGAGTAGAGACTCCTACATCACAGTAATGTCTGCCTTCCAGATGTCATCAGCATGACAGTCCGGGCATCACATTTTCATCCGGATGTCATCACCTTCCGCTGGTTCTGCCAGGGTGGTGAGCTCAGCCCTGTGGCTTCCCAGGCGTCGTCCTCCCCTCGGCCAAATTCTGAAGGCTTCTTCTCGGCTTTCAGCCAGTGCAAACTTCCAAAAAGCGAACTAGAGAAGGGAGCCACAAAAGTGTGGGTCAGTGTCCACCACATAGCCCTGAAACAGCCAGTCATGCGAGAGACCAGGGGTATGAAAACACAATCAAAGAAACATTGCATTTTATGGTTTTCAGGCAAAAAGTTGAAAAAAGCTATTTTAAAAATCTGTTTCTGAATTTTATTTCTCTAATACAGGTTTCATCAAACGGCCGTCCGTTGCAGAAATTGTCTGCTCCACCAGCCCTTCAGATCCGACGTCTACTCTGGGGTGTGAAATCACCGATTTCTACCCTCCAAACATATCAGTCACTTGGCTGAGACTAAACGAGGGAGAAGAGGATGACAGAGAGGAAGAGGTGATAGAGGGAGGGGAGCTGTGGGGGCCCATTCAAACTCAACCCAGATTGTTCAGGGCAACAGCCACTCTGAAAAGGAAAACTCAGATGGAGAGAAAGGGCCGAAGAGGTGGGATCGTGTGCAGAGTGGAGCACTGTTCTCTGAGCCAACCACTGGAGAAGCAGTGGAGAAACGCTGACATGGGTATGAAGCACCAGAAACACATTGTACCAACCATACGATTTATTCTTATCATTCCGTTGAGCTGTTCTTTTACTTTTCTTCCATAGTTGCTCCCTCCATTCCTCCATCAATATCAGTCTGCTGGAGCAGTGAAGGCGTCGGTGTGTTCTCTCTCGTGTTGAAGGGAGGCCACCCTAGGGTCAAATTACTGTGGGCAGCAGGCAGTTCCACACTTTCCCCGTTGGTGTCCAGTGAGACAGAGGAGATAGGAGATGACGGGCAGAGAGAGCTGAAAAGCGTGTGTGCCCTGGAAAAGTCCACAAGCCTGCAGCCTGCGACATTCAAGCAGCCAGAGAAGCAGAAGAACAGACTTGCAATAAGTACTTATCATTAATAAATGAAGTTCCCATGGTGTAGCAGGTCAAAGGTCAGCCGAGGCTCCGACGAATAGTGTGCATACACTGTCTCACAGAGGTTTATGAAAGAATAATGAAAGAACCAAAAAGTCCATATTATAATGTTAGCACTCCAAAAGCACATACAAATTATATTCAAGATCCATGTTTTTTTTCCGATTAGGATCATTCTTTTTTTACAAATTTAACATAAAACTCAAAATGTCACTTTCCAGTACTGTTCGTTGATCTATGGATTATAGATGTCATCATGTTTTATAGGGCCTCCAAAGACTGGCCACAGACTGAATGAAATGACACATTCTGCATATGTTTTAGCACATTGTGTTGGGTATAGTTGATGGACCTAACAACATTATTCAGTTCAGACACAAAAATCTGCTTTATTAGGAAAAACATGACTGAACCTTGTCTCCAAAACCTCCCTGCGAACAAAGATTCACATTTTGTTCCATCATTGTGAGACAGTTATACTGCATCAAACCAATATTTCATAATGAAACCAATTAACTGAGGGCCTTTTTGGCTCCTCTAATGCAGGGTTTTTTAAATTGTTAATTGTGAATTAATGGCAACATAATATCGATAATTGACAATACTGATTATATGGAAGTCTTCTATGAAGACGACAGACAACGTGAAGACGATAGAGGACCACAGCGACTGTTTTTCCAGGGAATGAAACCACTTTTAGCCGATGAATGAATTCCAGCTTTTGGCTGTTTTTTTTGCAATTCTTGTTTGCTTTGGGCAAAAGAAAAACAATCCCAAAGAGCACAAAAAATCAAATTAATGTATGAATCCATGCTCTCAAGAGTAATTGGCTTATTTAATTCATGGAGATTTGTAAAATACATCTCTTTGTACTTGCCTACCTTCTGTTTCCCACATTGTGTGGATGTTAGTCTGAGTTTTGAACCTGTCGCCTCACAGAAACGAGAGCTGCTGTAATGGACCCGGACACTGAAGGAATAGAATATATTGATGAAAAAGTGGACAGCGACATCAGCAGAGATGAGGAAACAATGTCTGAGGTGGATGAGGACAGTGACAGAGAAAGACCGGAGGACCAGGGTGCACTGCAGATAAACAGAATAAGCCTGAGCAGAAGTCCCAAAGAAAACGAGAGAACACGTTTCCGAGTGTGTGTAGAGATTACACACCCCACACTCAAGCTTCCTGTTTATCGAACGTGGACAGGTGAGACACTCAATGGTGTATCTCTAACCTAAAGATCCAGTCTGTGGGATGCTGTGACATTAAGCTGTACAAACTAAAAACTGATCACTCCACTCATTTTCTGTCCGTTTTTTAATGAGTTGGCATACTACAGCCTCCTCCTAACTGCCCAAAGATTCTATTTAAAATATTTTTTGTTTACTAGAAAGTGACAACATTAGTGCAGCCCTTTCACTGGGTGTTTTTCTTTATGCTATATGGATTTGTCAGTGTTAACTCGTTTAACATGCTCTGTGCTGGACTAGTGACCTGTCCAGGGTGTAACCCACCCCTCACCCAAAGACAGCTGGGCAAGGCTCCAGATGTGTTTTTCTAACTTGTATGAGCTGATGCTGCAAGACTAATCTTTTACAGTAGAAATGTAGCATCCTTCTTTAAATGATAAGGAGGGTTGTGTTGTTCATCGCTAAGCTTTCTGATATGAAATCATAGACTCTATAGTGTTGTAAACTGTTTATGCTAAAACAATAGTCCTCATGTTCAGGTAGTAAAAGCCCCCTTTTAGAGGGACAAAGTTATTAAATTGCCCTGCTGTTAATCCAGAAGATGGCTTAATGTGACACAATGAAACTCCTAACTTAAAATAGTCTGAAAAAAAGGAGAACTAAACATGTGCACATGTAAATATTAATGGAGAAACACTTTAAATAGAGCCATAAAATGCCACTGGCTGACTGGAAGATTACTAACTGTTGTTCGGTTGCACTCTATTTCTACTCAAGGGGAAGTTTGTTTAACTTTGTGTTCTTTCTTTCAGAGCTCAATGAGGAAACTTCATCTTCAGCATAAACACCCCACAACATTGCTTCCCAGTTTCAGTTTCATGTATTCTTTATGTTATATTTTATCTAATATGTATCCCCACGGTAAATATGCAAATATGATATCCAACTGGGTCTGACTTGATCAGCACTGTGGTTACAAACATTTTCTGTATTTATATAATCACTCTCATGCTTTTTCTTTCAACTCCAAGATGTAATTTTTGGTTGTTCTTTTCCTTTGTAACCGTGCATTTCTTATGTACAAACATTTTTACAACAGTAACAATCACCATTTGCGGATTTTTACCTAAATTTCTTGTGTAAAATAAAGACTAAATTGATTGAAGGGAGGATTGTTTCTTTGGAGTTTCATTTTTGTCTGTGAAAAAAGTTTAGAGTTATGCAGCACTGGTTATCTACTAAACTTAGTTGTTTTTTCTCGTTTTTTTGTCAGTCTGACCACATGAAGACCCCTGTGCTGAGCAGATCAAGCAGGATCTACGTACTGAGTTACTGAGCTGCTGCTTCAAATGAAGCGCAGTTGTTAGCTGAATATGAAAAGGATTGCACATTTCATCTTCTAATATTTTTTAACATATAGCATGCATTTTATATTTACACGAGTATGCTTCTGCTTTGTAAATGACCTTGGTTGTTGTGTTCTACACAACCACAACATGGCAAATGATGTTGTACAACACACAAACATACAATTTCCCACACGGGTAGGAAGTGAGTGAACTTTAGTCGTAGGCTCTGAAACTCCAAAGCCACAAGTTATTTGATGACGTCTGAATTACAAGAAATGAAAGTGACTGATGAAGATGACTTAGTCAGTCGTAAAGTTAAGAACAGGCCAAACATGTCCACAGCACCCATTCTCTTTTTTGTCCTTTTTTGATTCCTCCCAACGATTCAGCTCTTTTAAGTTGTATCATTTTAAGGAATATTGCAGATTCCACCCAGCTATTATTTGAACCAAAAAAGCCATCTGTGTTGCCCCGTCTCTATGTAGAATTGAAGGAGTTATTCTTTGTGAGAGTCCAAAATAGAGGAGAGTTGTGGAAAATCTTCTGTGGGTTTGCGTTGGTGCGGTGGCACAAATAAACTGGATATGGGACTTTAGCTGTTCACGCCTTCAGCTTCCTTTGAAGACAATTTTGTGGGTGAATCTAACTTTTTAATTTGCCTGTAGCATATGTCAAATGGGATTACACAATCTGCTATTTGAAATTATGTTCAGAGTATTTGGTTCAGTGGATGTTCAAGGAAACACAAACTAAACTAACTAAAGCCATGCTTATTTAACTCATTGCCATTTACTTTATTGTCAAATTGATGATAACTGTAACATCGTGTCTACGTTGTGAGTCGCTCTGGATAAAAGCGTCTGCTAAATGCATGAACCTCAACAATATCAGCTGCAGCCTTTTTTATTTTTCTCTGCGACGGCAGCCATTCGTCCGAAGCGGTTTGCGGCGGTGGGCCGCAGGTCTATTCTCTCTCTGTGTGTCACGTAGCAGTCCAACATAGCATCACACGGCTGTCTGTGGTCAGACGTATGAAGAAACTCAGAACACATCCGCAAACTGTGCAGCACACCGGCCACTTGGCTCGGAGTTAATTGCCCTCTTCCTCATCGCGGCACCCCGGACGTGCACGCGGGAGGGGGAAGTGGAGGGGCAGTCGAGCTGCTCGCGCCTGGGAAGCAGCTGGTTTTTAACTTTTTAATCAGCAGAATGTGCACGGAGAATTAAGTTGAGCTGCTGTTTTTTTTTTTTTCAAGGAACAAAAAAAAAAAAGAAGGAAAGAGTGTAAACAGAGAGGAAGTGAGAAGATGGACCCGGACACTCCCCTTTCCAGAATGGAGAGGACTATGTGGACAGTCTGGGTGAGCTGCTTCATCGTTTAAATGTAGATGTTTGACAGAGTAGCCGGCTTCATTTGAAAGTTTTGTACCCCGAAATTAGTTTGTGAAGTCTTCATATACGTCAGCATACATTAACACAAGCTAAAACGCGCACATTATCTAAGAAGGTCACTCCCTCCTGTTTTGCCCTCCTACATCTGTTGGGGTATCAAATACCTCCTGATACTGAGAGATATTTCGATATTTTACATAAAACCTTTTCTGTTGATAGATTATAGAAATGAACATCAACATTTATTTGAAAAGGACTTGTCTTGTGTCTTGTCTTGAGTCATCTTTACATAATTGGTTATTAAACACTTGCAGAATAGACCATTGGTGTCATAAAAGTATGATAAAACAATATTTTGTCTGAATAGAGAACTTGGAAATTCACCAAACAATGCAAAAACATATTGTATGTGTTCGTTTTTGTGTTTAGCCTGTTACACACAAACACACAAGTGGGGTTTTTCTTTGGGTCTTATTCAGATTTGCTTAGTGTGCCTCAATATGTATTTTTTCAGCAGTGTTGATGTTTATTTAATTGAAAAATGTATGTAAAAAAAAGTGGAACTGAAAAAAGTTGTCTGAAAAACAGCACAGTTTCAGAACATTTCATAAAAAAACAAAAGACAACACCCTGACGCAATAAAAAACAATGAATGTGCCAGGTTTTGTAAGGTGTTTTGTAAAATGTTGTGGGTTTGCATATTATCTGTTCATTTGTCATCTTAAGGCCATTATAAAAAACTTTTTCAGTGTCAAAAGGCGTGACTGGCTTCCTAAAAGGTGTCTTATTCTATCTGAATGATTATATCTTAAAAAGCATACTGAAATGTTTTCTTTAATTTAGTGCAAACAAATAAGGGGGAAAAAGTAATGCCATAACCAAATGAGTTGTTATTTCAAACAGCTTTATTCAATGTAGTTGATTGAGAGAAATAATTGCTAAAAAAATAAGTATTTGAATAAGTTCCCAATAAAAAATCATCGCCATTCTTTAAAAACATTTGGACTTATATTAGATATGATTTATATTGTAAGTGGCCTGCTGTATTCAGTCTGAAATGTATGAGTGTTCACTGACTTACTGGGTTTTATTTTAGATGGACTTCTGCCTCTGTTTACATAGATTTAATAGTGGCTTTCTGAAGAGATATTTAGCTCTTTATGGGTTTGCAACAAAGTGTTTTTCTTTGTGAAACACTCCACCATGTAGCTAAAGGAGCAGCAGTAGTGCTCAACAAGTCATTTGAGAAACAGGAAACAGTGCGTGACAAATATCAGTGTTGACAGTTGGCGAAAATTGTCTTAACGATGCATTGATTTCCATGGCCAGTTGGGGGAAATTACTCTTGTTGTCTAAAGAGGACTCAGTTGATCTGGTACCTAAGTACGAATTTGCCATTTAGTTTTGATTTTTAGGATCAAGTCCTCTTTTATATTTCTGTCTTTAAGAGGGAAATGGAATGTTAGTCCCTAAGGTTGGGACCGCCTTGGGGGCTTTGTTGCTATCCAATGGCTATGCATTGTTTCTATGCTGTAAGATCCAAAGTTCCTTTCTCTTGTTAATTTAATCAAGTCACTGTCACACACTGCTCTGCTAAAAATTTTAGCACAGTTTAGCACACAGAGGAACTTTACTATTCTGATGCCACTCCTCCTCATCATCCTGGACTGATTGATCAAATTCACTAAATGGAATGAATATATTTTTTTCATAAATACACACACATACTTGTAAAACTGAGTTACTGGTTGTCTGGTTTTAGTTTTTACTACAAACCCAGTTGCACACAAACATATTTTGTGGAAGACTCAAGTGAGGTGTTATATATTAGAGCCCAGCTAAAAAGCTTTGTGGTTGTGAGTCTGTTGACAGTCATCTATCTAGCTCCAACCTCCATATATGGACTTTTATTCTAATGCATCAGTTGTCTCATCAGTATTTCACAAACTATGGTGCCACTAGTTTCCTCTATTGAGCTTCGTTCTTTCACTACTTCATGTTTTGGCCACAATAAATACTTGGTTCAAGGCTATGTGTGAAATGTTGTGCCTGCCATGTTAAATTTAGTAAGCATAATTGCTTTGGTTATAAAAACATTCATATGTTTGGCAGGTTTAAATCGAACGTCATTTGATGTTTTTAGAACAGACCTGCTGTGAAAAGCAGGTCGTCCTTGCCAGGGGTTTTGGAACTCTGTCAGAACCACTCAAGTTTCTACTGTTCCAAACTAAAAACCCATTTATAGTGTTTGCTTTGTGCAGGGAGGCATTGTTTTGCTGGAACAGGAAACAACCTTCACCAAACTAGATGCAATGCCGAAGGACACTGTTATGCAATAGCCTTGTATGATGTAACAATTAAATTATGAACAATATGTAGAATATGCAGCAAGTGTTCCAATGCTTTGTACATTTATTTTCATTATAGCTTCATAACTATTTCAATTATTTTCAGAAAACTTGACAGAAATTACTTACATTGTAGATGTAATACTTTCTTTATCTCATCCTCAGGGCTACATAAGTGGAGCTGTGACCCGATTCCTCAGGTCACAGCCAGTTGAAATAATCAGCAATGACCCAAACTCCTCACAGACATCTCCAGATGACAGCAGGCCTCCTGATCCCCTTGCTCAGGCCGACACTAGTGGAGGGGATGCTGACCCGCATCTTTCCCTTGCAATAGTCTCTCAGCATCGCTCATCTCCAACAGTTGCTTTTTGGGAAAACTGTGCCACAGATGCGAACGTGAGACCAGTTGAAGAGAACAAGTATTTAAGGAGAGGAAGTGAGAGTAAAGAGAATGAGGACAACCAGGGTAGGAGAGAGGAACAGGATGGTCAGGTAGGAAATGATGGTGATGCTGGACTGCCTCTTGGTGCAAAAATCGACCCAACTGGACAAGGAGGAATACCTGAGAGTAATAATCATGAGAATGCTGAGTCAGGAAGTCTCATGGATGATGCTCCACAGAAAGGCTTGATTGAGGAAAGTAATGGAGAATGTGTCACTGAAAGTGAGTCTGTGAGTGTAGCCACTCTGGATGATCATCAAAAAGTGGATGACACCATGACAGAAATCCAAGTGACAGACGATGATGGAGAGAAAGATGAGGAAATATTAGAAGCAGAGGGCAGTGAGGTAAAACTATGCACAAACTCGGGTTTCAGTCCAGAAAGGTTAATCAAAGAGGAAGCAGGAATTCAGAGGGGCAATACAGTTCAAATAACACAAGAAGAAGCAGAAGATTGTGAAGCTGTGCTGGAGCTGCTCTCTGAACACAAAAACAAGTCAGAGGAAGAAACAAAAGCCATTGAAAATGAGCTTTTAGTCTGTGACAAGTTGTCAGATATGTCAAAGGAGGAGCTAATCATGACTGAACAAGCACTCAGAGATGCAAATGATCATGTTGAAAATCTGAGAGCTCAGGTTGACATCGCTGAGGCTACAAACTACCCAGCTACATGTGAGCAGGACAGATACAGCAAAGCAGTAACAGAAGGCCAACAAGAGGAAAACATTCTAACTCAGCTAATCATATGCAGTGAAGAAGCTGTGGAGAGTACAGGGCTGCATACATCTGAATTCTCAGATACAGAAGAGGATGTGGTGGTCACAGACATGCAAACCACCACAGAGTTTGATGTAGAAGAAATTTCAGATAATGAAAACAGTGTTGCAGATCAAGTTGAAGAGGAGGGGCTCTCCAGTGAAGTTCACAACAAAGGCGACTCTTTGGAAAAAAACACATCAGTTACAGTAAATCCCAAAGGCGAGACTGAGGAAATAGGCAGAGAGTTTAAAAATATTCCACTGCCATTAATTGAAGGCCAGCTACCTTTATCACAGGAGCTAAATCCTCAAGTATGTGTGGAAACACAAGGGGGAGTTCCTGAACACAACAATGAACTCGGGCCACATGAAAACACAACACAATGGTTCCTGGTGGCAGGAAATTGTGAGGAAATCCACATCACTCAGTTACCAGAAGAGGTGGAGGACCAAGACCAGGAGAGCCTTAAAAACAGCAACACAGGAGCTGACCATTTACTGGGGAGGCAGAGCTGGGAGGAGAGACGACACGGCACAGAAGAAAGAAACTTCAGCTTTGATTTAACTGAGGAGAATCAGGGAGGAAAGGAGCACCTTGCACAGGAAATTGAGGAGCCAAGTGTTGCAGCAGAAATTCAGGAGCCAGAAAGTTCATATTCTGAGGAGGTCACATTACTTGAACACTCAATGAAGACGGAGATCAAGCACTCAGACAAGGAATTTGAGACACGTGATGAATCAGCAGAAGAGGCTGATAAGGTGGCAGGAGATGGCCAAGATGGGACTGAAGTGGCTGAATTTAGAAAGGAGGAAGACTCCACAGTAACCGCTGGAGATGGCAATGAGCCAAGCAGAAATGTTGCAGTGGATGAGGGGGTCCTGATTACTGATGGAACTCTAAACTTCTCTGAGGCGCAAATGGAAAGGATGACAGAGACAAGCCTCTGTCTGGAGTCAGTGCATGCCACATCTAGTCTGCCAGATAAAATTACCGAATGTGAACAGTCAGCTGAGACTGAGGCTAAACTAGTTGAGGATCACACTGTTCAAATTCAAGATGTAGGGATAGATAGTGAGGATTATGCATATAAGGAGGTAGAAGACGATCAAATGGACGACAGAAATGAGGGCATGCCTGTGCAAACAGCTGGAGAAGCAGCCAAGTTTATCACTGGTGGGATCGAATTATCTAAACACTCTGAGACACAAGAAACAACGAATCAATGCCCAGACAGAGCTTTTGAGATCACGACAGAGATAAAGATGAGTACAGATGATTATGTGGCGAATATAAAAGATTCTCCTGTGATATCAGCAGAGGAAAGTGGAAAGCGTAGGACTCAATCAGTAGAAAGTTACGCAGAAGACACAAGCAGCTCAACGAGAGAACGTCTGGATGTGATTGATGAAGACATCCTTGACCTGTGGATAGAAACAGCTATGTCAGATGACACTCGGGAAGTGGAACAACAAGAGGGGTCTGAGCCAGAACCGGAGAAGGACACAACAGTAGACCTGTTGAAGAAAGAAGCAGGACAAGTATCGCAAGAGGATACGCTCATGGAGTCCAACTCAGGAGAATCTGAGCTAGTAAGTGATGGGGAAACATCTTCATTGGCTTTAGAGTCTGGATACATGGAGCAGTCTTTCAGTGAGGCTGACCTTTTGAAATCAACAAGCTGTGGCTCACTTGATGGCATGCATGACATGGTAACTATGTCAGAACCAGCCACTTTTTCTGCATTTTCTGCACCAAACTCCAAATCTCAGGAGGCTCCAATGGAGGTGACGGCTGAAACGGTTCATTCTCATTTTAGAGAAAAGGGAGAAATCAGTCAAAGCAAACCTTACCCTGATTCAGGTCTTTCATCACCACAAGCCAGTCATTTAAATCAAGAATTTGATCATTATCAATTCAAACCAAATGATGAATCAGAACAGACAAAGACAGTGATAACAGCCTGGAAGGGCACTGAGGGAGCAGATGATGGGAGACTGGTAAAATCAAGTCCTCTTTTCCAATTCAGGCAAACCAAAGATGATGATGAGTCTATTGAAATAATCATCTCCAGCTCCTCAGATGAAATCAAACTCATTGAATCAGAACGTTCTACAGCTAACTCAGAGGGGTTGTCAGAGGTGGAAATGTTGTCAGCCGAGCCTGGATCTCCGGGTGAAACCTGGTTTGAATCTGAGGAGAAGCATCTATCACTGGATGAACCAGGGCACAGGTTGTCAGAAGATATCACTGAATCATCACCTGAACCGAGCATGGCAGAGGTGGCAGAAAAGGAAACGGTGAAGTGGACAGAACAGGAAGAGGTATTATTGCAAAGAAAATCATAAATCTAACATTACAGTAATCCTAAATCCCAGCAAAGGTGTGAATTCTGATGCTTTTTCATTGCAGGTGGGCAGCCCTGTGCTGGACTTCACAATGCAAAAGTCGCGCATTGCTGTTAAAAGCCCTCATGTCCGGCCACCCACAAATCCCCGCTCCCTTCTACAAAAGCCCTCAATGGATCCCACACCCTCATCACATGTGCCAGCCAAAGGGCCTGCAGGTGTTCCGTTAGGAGGCTTAGGGATTGGAATAAAACTGCCTGGTAGGTGACATTTAATTTCACCATCTGGAGTCTTATTGATTCATCATCATCCATCCTTTTTTCGAATCTCTCATTGATGTTACATGTTTTTGTGTTTCAGGACTCGGTGCAGGTTTTCCTGTTTTAAAGAAAACACAGAGGCTTGTGAGAGGTGAAGATAGCAACCAAACCCATTCACAGGTAATACTACTAATCCGTCGTCACTATTTACTCTTTTGTCGTGACATCAAACTAACAACACAATATCAACAGGAACCTGACAAAAATAAAGAGGAGAAGAAC